TGGTGCCAACTTTCCCCTCCCCACTGTAATCTACCCATGTCTGCCCTCTTCCAAAAGAAGCCAGGACCGATGCTCCAAAGGTGCATTTTTAAACTTCTATCCTATCAAGTCAGAAATAAATTTGAACATTCTGATTAAATTTCACAGGAAAATTAAAGTGACCAATAAATTTAACTCTGGGGGGTGTTTTATTTTAAAGCAGTACTGTGGTTCTAATCTTAATCATTGGAATTTGGGAGGCAGTGGTCAGACGATGAAGTAGCTGGGAGCTTCTGTCCCCTTCTTGTCCTCCAAGAATGACATGGAGTGGGCAGAAGCCATGGACCCTACTCTCCTATACTAGTATCCCCATTATTGTCCTCATTTATTTGGGAGGATACTGGAGCTGTGGAGGGTTAATCACTTGCTCAAGTTCCTCCTAAACAAATGGGGACAATTAATGGTAACTACCTCATAGAGTTTTTAAGATAAAATTTCAGCTACATGTAAAACACTAAGCTACCTGAGAAATAATAAGCACATAATTTGAAAAGGGCTTGCTGTTATTTTTCTTATTTACAAGCTGGTTTCTGAAAGAAAGAGGCCAATCCTAGGTACCCTCTAGTCTTCTTTTCTGGACCTTCATTGCATACAATACTGAATTTACATTTATGTTGGTGTTATAAAGCTTCCTTTAAAATAATTTAGTGGTGAGCATTGACCTATGAACCAGGAGGTCATAGTTTGATTCCCGGTCAGGACAGATGCCCAGGGCACATGCTCCAGTGGGGAGCATGCAGGAAGCTAATCGATGATTCTCTCTCATCATTCTTATTTCTATCCCTTTCTCCCTCTCCCATCCTCTCTGAAATTAACAAAAATATATTTGAAAAATGAAATTTAATCTAACATAGGGCATGGTAAGTTTATTTAAAGAAAATCATGAGTTATCAGGCGTCAAGATGTATGTGGATATGGTAAAGATAATGATGATGTAAGTGAATGCTTACTCCAGTGATTCCTCATTGCTAGAATAAGTTCAAACTCCAAAATGGAGCAGCCACTCTACTTAATATTGCACTGTACAATATTAATATTCATTATTATTAACATCCCCCACTCCCAGCCTTCCTAGTTCCTTTTAACCTGCTCTACTTTTCCTTTATTCTATAGGACTTATCACTTTCTAATATTTTTTATAGTTTAGTTATTTTTATTGTCTCTCTGCTAGAATGTAAGCTCCTCCAGGGCAGAAACCTTTTACTGTTTTTTGTTCACTAAGTGAACAAGGTGTCTAAACTAGTGTCTGGTCTGTTGTAGGTGGTCTCTAAGTATGTGGTGACTGAATTAATGAATAATGGAGGCATTCACAGTCCTCCGGAATTTCGTCCCATTGTCTTTTTCAGCCTCACTCTTGTCATTCTCCTCTCTATGTGTCACTGATACGAGTGGTTTCCCATGCACATCATTTGCTCCCCCATCTCAACACTTACTCATACTCTCTCCTCTGCCCTGATAATCATGGACCTATGCAAAGATTCAGTTGTAAGAATGTTTTTCATAGTTTGGGTTTGTATCAGTAAAAAATTTAAAGCAGCCTTAAAGAATAAGTTAGAGAAATCATGGTAACTCCCACTTGATGGGGGGTATATGGCAGTATCTATCAAAATTACAAATGCACATAGCCTTTGGAGTGGCAGTTCTGCTTTTAGGAGTTTATCCCACAAAGAAACTTGTTCGTGTGCCAAAGTAATATGTGTTGGTGAGTCACTGCAGTGCTT